CTGCTGTTCTGATAGTTAATATGGATATATATAATGCTGTTTCACTACAATTAAAAAAGCAAGTAGCGGTATCATTATATTATTTCTCTGAGAATTTGTAGTTTTGTTGTGATTTTTGAACAGTATCCTTTGAAAACCGTATTGCATCCCATTGCATTTGCCTGGGAGAGGAAAGTCTGGGTTATCAGAGCGCACAGTTGCACACAAACACATACTGTACATGCACACATACACACGTAACAGATGGGGCCCTGGGGGGTGTCCTCCAGGCAGGAGGATCCCAGGGATCCCTTGGAGACAAAGCAGAGGGGAATGATGAGGACAGCATGGAGGAGGAGGAGGAGGAGGAGGAGCAGGGAAACATACAGTACATAGTACCTGCAGGTTTATTGTTAATACTTTTTAATACCTTTTAAAGATACCAAGATTTTAATTCAGACAGACCTAAGAACCACAATTAAGAAACCAAGCTGGCACAGGCATGAATAATAACAATTACTAACTGAGAATCCCTCTCTGCCATAACTAGACAGATTATCAGCAAGTATAAAAGTTCTGACACTTTTCTTGTGCTCTGATTGGCTGTAGCTCACCAACAGATCAAGATATTTAGCAAGCTTGATATCTGAGGAGCCAACACCAATTTGCCTCTAATCTGGGGCTTTTGTCTGGGAGCTCCAAAATTTGTTGGCGAGCAGAAAATCGTGGCTAAAGTTGTGTAGTGTGAACTAAGCATCAGTGATCTGAGTGAAGGTTGAAAGGGCTGTTACTGATAATAGATACTTAAAAAAATAGATAAATAAAAATGTCAGAGCAGAGACAGGAGAATTATTTTATATGTATTTAATCACCAGTCTACAGTCACCGTGCTCCCGCACTCAAACTGTAAACCTTTCCCAGAAAGTTCACAAATGCTAATTTGGACTTTTGGCTCACATCAACTGTTAAACACAGATAATATGTAACTCAAAATTCTTGAATTTGTATTTCATATGTTGTAGTATGTTGTAAAGCCCTCTAAGGAAAAATGTGATTTGTGATATTGGGCTTTATAAATAAAACTGAACTGAACTGGAATGTCTTAGATGTTCTTTATTAGCATCACACACAAGTTGACTTTATATTTTATGTCTTGAAAGTTTGTTACTACATCCTCAAACTCATTTTGGTCTGTAACAATGATAATCTGTAATTTGAAAAATGATTATTTTTAGCCCAGCATGGATGACAAACCAGAACTATCTGGTGAGTTGTGTAGGACAACACCTGCACTTACAATTCCTCATAAGGTAAAAAAAACTATGCATGAAATTGTATTTTACTTACTTAAACATTTAAACATTTTGATAAAAATCAAACCTAACAACCATGGTTTGTTTGAGGCAAGCTGTTTGAAAAGGTGCATTGTGATTTTTATGTAGCCTAATTTTAAACTTTCCTCCTCTGCCTCGCTTCCTTTCACTTGAGTTCTTTTTCTTCAACTCTCCTCTTGGTCACTCACTCTCTCACTCTCCTGCCCCCCTCTTTCTTTTATTCCCCTTTATTTCCCTTGTCCCCCCCCCCCCCCCTTACTTCTGACCCAACTAAAAAGCTGTGCACAGTGCCTCACAATGAAGTGCGCTTCTTTCACATGTTAATGCTTTTACTCACGGCTCACTGCACAGCATAAGACAAGAAACAGAGCCGGTCAGAAAAACAAGATTGCATACACATGCACACATGGCTACTGTTACAGCAATCCAAATGAACTGCCACTGAGTCTCCTTCAGTTGTGATGATGAACTTCAAAACCCAACAGAGAGGAAAATGAGAAGTATAGAGTCAGAAAGAAAGATCAAGACACACAAAGCAAGATTACAAATGGAAGTGAAGAAGACAAGGAGGGAAAAGAAAGGGCGTCTCCATTTCGTTTCCATTGCAGATGGGCTTTTCATCATTCATGACCATTTTAGTGTATCACACTAAAAAACCTATTACACTTTGTCAACCGGAGTGTATGTGCCTGGGAATTGATTGTAAAGATTTGACAGTGGGACAGAAAACAATCTCTAAGATGAAAATGCATGTGCATCTATTGATATTCATGCTGCTATGACAAATATGAGTAGGAACAAGTCGGATAAACAAAATCTCACGGCTGCACTGGCTGCGTGTGTGTGAATCAAGTTTGAGTCATTGCATCAATACAAGTCCATTAAAACACGGTTCATGACCAGATTTCATATGAAACAATGATGCTTAGATGTATGAAAGCAATTCATAAGGTGATGTGTTTGTTGGAGGACAAATTAGATACAATGATTTGATCCCGTTTGGGGTTTTTCATTAACTAAAATATATTTTATTTTACTCAGTTTTTCAAGGTAATCAAGGTGTTTTGGATTGTTAATTGTAGACATGTCAGTTTTGGTTAATTATTCTTTCCATAGCCTGATACCCATTAACTGGTAACTAAATGTTAAATTTTTAAAAAAGAAAAAAGCACAGTGACTTGAAATTCAAGATGCTTTTCCTTTTAGTCTGACACTCCAATGACTCAGTGAGCTTTAGCACTGCATTTCAAAGGGCTATGCATTTAGAGGTGGTGAAATGTTAACATTTTGTCATGTAAACGTCTTGCCTTTTTCATTTTCTGTTGGCTTTGGTGACAGACAGACAGCTATCCATGTTACCATGCCAAAATATAGTGCCCAACGCTGTAGTGGCGGCACAGTGTTGCCATTGTGGAAACACTGTACCCCTTCCTCCGGTCTCCCCATAGCCTGATGAGTTAGCTGTTTTATTTTAAGCCCAGAAACCCCTTTACCTTTGTTAACTATGTTAGGATGACTTGTAATGCTGATACTGCTAACTGTGCTAACAGAGCTAACAGTAATAACATAGTTAATAGTGCTATGAAGTGTTTGTGGCTCAAAATTAGGCTACTTTCTTACCAAGGCAACCTGGGGGGACACTGAGGGGTGGGTACAATGTTTCCAGAGCAATACTGTGGGTTGGGAAGGTGTTACTAGCTGTAATCTCAGAATGAGCGCCGCCAGCTAGCTCCCACCAGACATGGTTGGTGTGTAATGCAGTAAACTGAAGAACAGCAAAATTAGCCTATAGCTCAACATGTGTAACTGGTCAAAAATATTAACCACTGACATCCCTAGTTAGTTGCATAACAGACAGAAGTACGTATGATGATTATTCATCTGCCTTTAAAGACTTAACGGTAAATAAAACAAAACTGAATTTAAAAAAAACAAAAAACAACAGAATTCATCTTTAAGCAAGTACTGGCTCTGCAACTTTGCAAGCTTCCCAATTAAGCAGCTAAGGCTGAACAGATCCCAACACTGCATGTAGCATACCAGAGAACAGCACTGCCATCTGCCTTTCTAGAAAAACTGTTAGCGGCTGCTCAAAATGTCTCTACAAGTCATTAACACTTATTTCAGAGAAATATTCACAGCTAAATTATCAGTTATGTTTATTATTAGTAACATCAATAAATCCAGTTTGCAGTCATGCTACAGGGAGTTCAAGCTGGTTGGTCAATTAATGGTTTGGAAGACTGGCTTGTAAAGAGGCTGTTTTATTCTTGGGGACTCTGGGAAATTATGTGTCTTTTATGGCAGGGCTACTTGGATTTCATATCTTTTTCCTGCATTATGCTCCTCAAATGCGATCCATTTTGGGTGCAGGTTAATAAGTTTAATAGCTCTACCTTTAGCCCACCGATGACCTGTTGAGCCTGATCATTCCTCCTGATCGCCCCCCGACCATTAAGAAGCTAATCTCTCCCTCTGGGACTATTACGCTCTGTCTGTGTCCACTCTTTGTTTCTGCTGGACCACAGCTTAGCCCAGTGGGGGCTTCGTGCTGAAGGAGCTGATGCCATCTAACCATATGGTACGTGGCAGATCAAGGCTGTCTCACGGGAGGTGTTAACAGATAATTCCTTTGATTCATGTGATATTCAGACTGACATTTACCAGTCTCAAGGAGCTGTCCCTTGCGCTGCCTGTTTTAAGAAGTGACTGTGTGATTCTGAACAGTAACCGGAGGGCAGCTCAGAAACTTCCTATCTCCTGATGATTGAACATTCAAGTTTGGTTTGTCTAAGAACTTCATGTGTGGTTTAAGCTTATTATTAATTACCCCAGTAGTCTGTTGTTATCTTGACTAATCTAACTAGGAGCTAACAAGCAGACTGGGCAGACCACCCATATTTGTGTTTTTATGGAGTTATACCTCCAGGACTAAGACACTAAGTGTTTTAGCATCTTCCATCCACTGAGATGAAATAGTTAGCGTTAGCTTTGCTATGCTACACTTGAACTACTCATCAACTCTGTGATTAATACACATTTGATTAATACAACTGATTAACACTTATTTGGGTGGTATATCCGAGGCTCCTAGCTAGCCTAACACAGTAGCTTTCAAACCACGTGCAGCATGCATGGGAATGAATTACAACTTTTAAGAACGGGTTGCAGTGTCTGTGACAATAGTCAGTTACTGTTACATGAACCACCGTGCAGCATATGCATGTAAATTTTACCACTACAGGATCGATTATATCAGAGACTGACCGGCCGCACGTTGGTCATGGCAGATCAAGATGAAAATCTGTCAATTGCGATGTCACCAGCCGATTGATCGGTGCATCTCTATTAAGATACTAACAGCACTTACACAAGTACTTACAGTTACAAGCTGTAAATGCTATTATAGTGTCAGTACTGTTTTGTAAGTATTGATAGTTATTTTAGTCTGTTTTTATTTTTTTACTTGGTATTAAGGTATGTTGCCACCTTTTACAAATACTCTGCTCAGCCAAAAATTTCCCTTTCTATCAAAAAAACCCTACAAAAAACAAACAAACAAACCCATTGTCCAGGACACTGTTACTCCGCATTTATGAAGCAAACTGCTCATATCTCTACACACACATGGCAGTCGAATATCTATTATCATTACAAAGGGGAATAAAAAAAAATGTGCACACAGACCTGAATATGACCAGTCGATATCTTCAGGGAGTTTTCTCAGGCCTCGGACCAGCGGCTCCGCTGCCACAACTACAGCAGAGAGAACGAGAAAAAGGTTATTATGGTCATTTCGCATTTCCACAAACACACACAAATGCACAGACTGACAGGTGAAACCGTGACCAGCTGCTGTGTGCCACATGATAAGTGGCAGGCTTTTCCTGTCATTCATGGGATACTTTTCACAACAACCTTGCCTGCCTTGTAATAAACCAATTTCATTCAGTCGGAGAGGAAAAGTCAAATGTGCTAACACTGTCGTACGTGACTTCGCTGTGTTGTGTTGGACATGTTCCAGCAGAGTGGTGTGAGATTAGTTTTCTATGTAGGAAGGCCAATTTCGAGATAGCCTGGGTAACAACAGCAACATTTACAACAGATAAAAAGATGGTGACTACTAGGGCATTCGCTCAGCCGCTGCTGTACATGTAGTGACATGATTCCCCCTACAGCCACAGAGCACTGGAGCATTTTTTTCTAAGGTGTAAAATAATTTGTGTGTAGCACACACAGGTTTCTGAATTGGAGCAGAAACAGAACACTAACCTTTAGTCTTACTAATAGAAGCATGCACACACGGTACAAAAATCATTGGTTATCACCATACAGTAGAACACTTTAGAGGGTGCAGGAGGGAGCTGCATCACCATTAACAGCATTTTTCTCAGTGCACACACACGCACACACACACATCTATCTATTTCATGGTAGTAATTTTCACTCAGGGACAGTAGAGGATACAATGATGTATGAAGTCACAGTTCAGTGTGTGTATCTGTGTGTCGTACTAGCTGGACATCCACTAATAGCTTTGTGTCCCTCACTAGCTGTCTTTTCTTGCTCCATGACATATGAGGGCACTGAATAACACACACACACACACACACACACACACACACACATAGATGCACAACTCTCTCTTCCCCAAGCTATTTTGACTCAAGTCTCTTTCAGTTTTCACTTTCTTTATGTTCATGTCTCTTCCACTCTTTCACCTCCTGCTAACAGGAAAAAGTCAGTGCTCTTTGTAATCATCAATAAATTAACTGATGACAGAGAATCCATTTTATTTGTATAAAAACACATGGAGTAATTATGTCAGCAAGTACCAAGTGTGACTCTCTGGTGGGAAAGTTGTACATCCAAAAATCCTAACATTAACACACTCACCCTGCCAAGATTTAACTCCCGTCAAGGTGACACATAAAAACATGTGCGTCATGTTTCAAATATGAAAATTATCCTTAGGAGTTTTCACAGCCAGAATTAAAGCCTGTGCATGGGTATTAACAGCGACATTGTAAAGCACTTCATGCACAACCAGATGGCATATTTCGTGTGATTTGTGGGGTCAAAACTGGTGCAGACAGGCATAACGTATATAACCTGACAAAGCCTGTTTCTGAGCCTCTGTGTAGAGAAAAGGAGGAAGGAGCAGGGGTCCATAAAACCTAAAAACTCATCATAAAGGAGACTGGCACACAAACAACATGAACAAATAAAAAGTAGGGGGAAGAAAAGAATATATCCTCTTTTTTTTTTAATCTTTCACTGCGCAGAGAAAAACCAAACACTGATCCTTTAAAAAGATGAAAGCCCTGTGTGGAGTCAGATTTAGGTCATGGACAATTACCACCATATCCACAACATTAAGATCATCCATGTGGCTGAGATGAAAACAGTATAATGCTATTGTTTACCATATAAAGCTGCATGGATAAAAAGATTGGGAATATCACTGCACGTGTGACAGCATGCACTCGTTCACATAGTTTTATCTAACTATGTGTTGTTGAACTCTTGAAGACATGCAATGGAGTGCATCCTTCTGTAAACTCTTCTGCATCAATGAATATGCAACAAACCCTGATACAGATGCAGCCACAGGGGGATTTTAATGTCGCACTTCACACTTGTTTAACTCACTTTTGCTTCTTTCCCATTTTTTCCCAAAAGAGACTGAAAGATGCTGAAAGTAGAAAATATTTTCTCTGTTTTCTGTTTCTGGAGTTTACAGGAAGCTCTGTGCTGAATGGCTGGATAATGAGCTAAAAACAGACCATCTATGGATCTTTAAGAAACTCAAAAAAGGTCTTTAAAAGTCTGAGCTCATGTCTTGGTGGTTAATATTTATGGAAGTTCATTCTTCACTTTTGTAGTTAGTTAATATTCTTTCCTTAAAATAAAATACATTTTGGAAATAAGAAATGAATTGGAATGTGTTTAAGGAAATGAGAAATGATAAATTGAGTCTGGGGCACTTGACCAGCATCTACACTGTGCCATACTGACATGACAGGACTGACAAATACTAGGCTATTATATTATAAATAGCCCGACCAGACTGAGCTGACCACATACTGCTTGCTATACTCTTTTGTGTCTGTATATAAGTGGATGGTGAAAAGACAGAAAGACTTTAGAAAGAAGATGAAAGGAAGGTAGGAAGAGCAAAAATAAAGAAAAGAATTTCACAAAACAAAATGTAATAAGAGACAAAAACATAAAGACTTGAATGGAAAATAATACAGACAGAAAAAACCCAGAAAAATTCGCAACAAACCACACATTTAGGAGTTTATTTATGGCCTTGTTTCCCAGCATGATGCGTGTGTGAGATTACTCTCTCATTCAGACTGCCATCTATAAATTCAGTGTATTTGATGATTACATTCATCTTTGCACAAAGGGGGAAAGACTGATGGGAGTAATGAATGAAAGTGAGCAAAAGGGGAAAGAGTGAAAAATGGAGTTGACTGTGGTGTTGCAGCGTCAATAATAGCTTCATTAACATCACACTGTGACGGATTTTAATCTAATTAGCCCTTGGCAAACCACCGTGCAACACACACACACACACACACACACACACACACACACAAACCAAACGATCACCTGTTGTTTCTGTGTGATTTTTGAAAGCTTACGAAAAAAAGAAATTTCCCTTTGAAAAGGAAATGTATTTGGGAGATTTCATTGGCCTAAAATAGGGAAATTGTTTGATGGAGATGGATTTTGAATGTACTTTTATGTGTGAGAGCTGCATAATCGGAGTGGAAATGCACTTGAAATGTCACCAGAAATATAATACACCTTTTGAAGTAAATAACTAGTGTAGTATATGAAGCGTAATTGGTCCCTGCGTGGTCACTGTGGTCACACACATTTTCCTTTTCATGTTACATATCTTCTATGTGCATCTGGCCTGAGTCTTGAAAAACTGAAGTGAAACCACAAAACCAGATGGACCAACTTTGACATGAGTCACCCTTTATTCAGGTCAGTCAGGTGATGAATCCTGATTTGACCATTTAAAGTTTCTTTGAAACACTTAGTGAAGTTGCACTCACTGGGAACGAGTTGGCCAAGTGATGGATTTCACCTCTTAGCCAATCACTGTGTCCGTACAGGGTGATTTCAGTAAAGTGACACAAAGGCGTTGAAAGTACATGTAAGAACATTTAAGTCGCCAAACCTGTGTCACATTTTATGTTAATGTCTTATGCAACTTTTTAACATTTATATAGTGCTCTGATCTGCTAAAACTAAGTACAATAAAGGGGCAACGCTTTAATTCTTACATTACCTTTAGCTTCTCATAACATTGGTTAGCAGTCAGAGGTCAACAAGACCTGGTACGAATAATGCAACTGAAAAATGTATATAGCATAGAAAGAAATTCATCAAAAGTGTAGCTGTCAGGGTGCTCCAGTTGGTCATTTTTTATAGAAATAACCTTTTTTTGCAAAAAAAAAGTTTCCACACACAAGTATATGAGACAAAGATCTGTGAAAAAAACATATTCATTTGAGTATATACATATTCCTTTAAAGCTAAGTTGCTAAATTTTATGAGAATAACTTTGCTAAAACTGTCATTACATACACAAAGTGTTATATGAGACAGATGTGAGTCTGTAAAATAAAAAAAAAATGTCCCTCCTCCTCTTCCTATTGCTTCTAATAGCATTGGCCAGAATCTACTGCAGCACATCAAAAACAATCAATCAGAGTCAAGGAGTCTGTAACACAGCTGTCAATCATGTCACTGTTCACTGCCCGTGAACTGTGTTCAAACTGTCAAACTAGGCAGTGCCGATAAAATGTGAATCAAGATTCTGTTACTGCATTGCCTATTTCTCACCTCAAATGTTTTCACAAACATATTTTAGTGTACTGTTTCACTGTAAAATGAGAAAGTTTGTGACCTGGCTGCTATGTTGGATATAGTTAAGCGAAGTAACAAGCACCACTAACCAGCCAGAAAAACATTCTTGACTCTGATTGGTTGTTTTTTAGGTGCTGCAGCAGATTCTGGCAAATGCTTTTAAAAGCAATAGGAAAGGAGGAGGGACGTGACTATTTTACAGACTATCTGTCTCATATAATACTTTGTGTATGTAGCGATAGTTTCAGCTAATATCGTAAGAAGTTATTTTCATAAAAGTTATCAATTTTACCTTTAAGATGCTGACCATAAACTTTAACAGGGACCTTGTGCTGCATCTCTCTCTCTCTCCTTTGTTTCTTGGCATCTTTCTATTTCCTGTAATTAAGGCATAACAATGCTCCCAAAATGCTTGCTGCTAGCATTTAGGAACAGGTTCTCACAGCATGATAATGAATACAGTAGAAGCGGTAGTGGCAGAGTCTGCCATTCCTGCATCATGACTCCATATGGTTTCTTTAAAATCATAAAATATTAATATCTAGCACATCAAATATTCTATTTTTAGTCATTCAGAATCAGTTTTATTGGCCAAATAAATGTGCATATATAAGGAATCTGACTTCAGTTTTTGCAGTGCTCTCAGTTACAAAGAAGTACACATAACAGCTAAGAACAAGGCAAACAAAGCTGGTCATATGGTATAGAATAGACAGGGCTATTACGTACACAAGTATGTGGGAAAAATAGTGTGATAAATATATACATATACAGCTCTAGAGACCAACAATATACATAAAATATCTATATACAAGTGTGTTTGTTAGTTGTATACAATATAAGTAGTGGAGACAAATAAATAT